GTGAATTGAATTTATGTTCTCTACTTTTAGTGACTGATAAGACTTCACACTGTTAGTTTCTGTTGGTGCATGCATGTAAAAAAAGGCAGAATGGAGAATGGTTTTAAGCATTAGTAATTATTTTGAGGCATGCATTTTACTTGATTTCTTTTCTACCTGAAAGCTCGTAACTTACGAGAAGAGTAATTTATTTAAAAAAAAAATGAAATAAGAGGCTCTAGGGCAATAGAGTAAACATTTTCAGTGGTAAAACCTTCAACTGCTCTGCAGTAAAAAAGTTGTCTCATTTTTTGATTGAGTCCCTTTGATGAAACCATGATTTCATAAAAAACATTTCCAACTGTTTATAGACATTTTGAGTTTTCTGGGTCTATTTACTAGAAAAATCATAAAGCCTGTAAGTACAGTACTCTCGTCTCCTGAAACTTTGAATTTTGGCTCTTTTGCTTAGTAAAAGTGTGATAGCCTCATTTTCTCAGCTGTAAAATCGGGATTATAAAACTAACCTCAGGACTGTATGCAGGGTTGACTAAGATAACAAATGAAAAGCTCCGACTACGGAAAGGAAGGTCATTGAAAGTTCCCTTTCTACTTTTCCCTTTGCGCCTTTCATTTTAAACACACAAGTATTATATCTCATATTTGAATGTGATATGACCATCGATCTTATCAGTGCATGTGGTTTGCGAAGTACATTTGGCCAGGCTTCCTTCATACAATGCACTAGTGAGTATTCCTCTTTAACTTGCTGGCTATAATCTGCTAGCTTATACAGCCACTGAAATTTCTTTACTCACTTTTGTTCATAAGCTTTTGTTCAAAAAGAGCCAAACATTAGTCTGGGGACAGTGTTGCAGTTGTACAGTTTGTCTGTGTCACACAGTTTGAGAGTATTATTTTGTGCCTTGAATGAACACTGTTTTGTCACTGAATGACAGCTTGATGCCACTGAGGTTCCATTATGAGATAAGAGTCCTGCGTTGGGTAAATGACAGAGCTAACCTAACTGGTGGTGGTTTGAGCCCATGCAGAGTGTCCATAGGAGGAAGCTCTTGCCCATAAAGATAATAGCCTCAAACATTTCATGGGGCATTTCTACTCTGTTCCCTGGGGTTACTGTGAGTTGGAATTGATTTGAGGACACCCATCAACAAAATGAGGAAAGAAAGGAGCTGGATGGTGCAGATGGTTACTGAGCTGCTGAAAGGCCAGAAGTTCTTTTCCATCTTGTTGTTTTTGTGTACCATTGAGTCGGAACCCACCCATAGCTGACCCTCCCACTGCTTTTCAGAGGCAGTTAAACACACAGCAGGAGATTGCCCATACCGCTCCCTCAGAGCAGCTGGGATTCAAACCATGTGCCTTTGGAATTGCAGCTTCTTACCATTAGGCCACCAGTGCTTCCTTCATCCAGAGGCATCTCAAAAGAAAGACCTGAATGGTCTACTTCCAAAAACTCAGCCTTGAAAACCCTGTGGAGCACAGTTCTACTATGACACACCTGGACTCAAACCTGCATTGGAATTGACTTGAATGTCTGTTTTTTAATAAAATGAGAGAGCACAGCAACTTGCCATGGCTTGTACGTGTGTCACAGTTGCTGTACTATTGTTAAATATGCCAAGTTAATGGTGGACCTCATGTAACAGAATAGAACTGCCCCACAGGGTTTTCCAGGCTTGAATCTTTACAGAAGTATGTTGTCGGATCTATCTTTCTCAAGTGGAGCTGCTCTGTGAGTTCAAACCACCAACTTTAAGTTAACAGCCAGTAGTACTCAACTGTTTGGCAATCGAGCTTCCCAGGCAAGGTTCTCAGGACTGTGGGAATAGCCTGGGACTGTGGACTTGGACAGAGGAAGAGCATGGTCACTCTCCCTCCTGCTTCCCCACCTCCACACTTCCTCCTTATGGGAGGATGTTGGCATCACACCTAGAAAGGAATCACTGCTGTTGGTTTGGGTGGGGAGTGTATGTGGCTCCTTTTGGCCAAGATGAAGACGATCTTCATGTTTGCAGTCAGTGCTGGGCTTGTTCCCAAGTAATTTCTGGCGCATGGTGGACTTCAGTAAGTGAGAAGATTGAAGGAATTTGCGCATGAATGGATGAAGTAAACTGTAGCGTTTGTTTGTATTCTTTTTATATAGTCAAGTTACTTACTCTCTTTTGGGCTTGAAGGATTTCCTGTAAGGATTAGCTTCTTAATGAACAAAAGGCCTACGCCCTGAAGTTCTTTTTTTCTAAAACAGCTAGTGCTTTGAAGACCCCCACAGTCATATGATAAGTGAAATAATAAAAATTACTGAGGTAAAATTCCCACCGCATGAACTTTACTGTGACATTTATTATATTTGCACTGCTTCACATCCACTGTCTGTGTCTAGTTGGGAAGTATTTTTATCCTTAATAATTCCGAGTTTACTTACATATTGATTGAAAGTATCAGCTCTTGGAGCTGAGTATTATATGCTCCTTTTGTGTTTGTCATGCCTTTCAATTGCTTGCTAGCTTTCTCTTTTCCAAGTATGAAATCCACATTCCCCTTCTGTGATTTGAGAAAAGTGACCGTCTTTCAAGTTCAGGAAGATTTAGAGATGAAAATGGAAACTCTGCAACCTCTTAATCCAAATAATGCTTCTATTTCTGCTCATTTTTTCAGTCGGCTTAATTTTATTTGTCCTTGAAACTCATTTCTTCATTTTACTAAATGGTTATACTTATCTGGCATGTTTTAGAACTTTAGGTCATTAAACTACATGCTTGAAGTCTACCTAGGCCTGTCTTCAAATGCCTGTATTGATTCCAGAAAAATACATGGAGAAGTTCAGTTACTTTTTTCTTAGAAAAATTACATTATCTTTCATAAAACCTTTTCTCCCTATATTAATCATGTTTACAGTTCAGACTCTCTGGGAATTACATGAGTCTATTCTCTAGAACTTGTGTTCAATGTAGGGCCACTGATTTGGAATTTTAGAGCTAACATTGTCCTTTGATGGTAAAGTTCAGAGCTCTGGCCTGTATCACGGGTAGCGATTGTCAGGACTCCAGGCAAAAATCTTCTCTGCCATTGAGTTCCTCCATCCTTCTGTGCCTGGTGTAGTGGCTCCTTTAGGGTTTTTCTCTCTTCCATCCACTCATCCACCCTACTCTCTTTCTTTTCATTTCTAGCTGAAAACTTGATAAAACCTCCAATTTAAGGAATGAGAATTTATGGGATTCAGTGTATACTGTCAAAAAATATCAAATTATATTAGATCAAAACCACCTTAAGTATCCTGTAAGACTTCAGGATATCAAGAAAATGTGCTTTACTTATACCTAATAGTAAGATGTGTGGATATGAGATGAAATCAAGGCTTGGACCAGGTGGTCTGATTCCACATCTAGTTGTTGGGTATGATTGGGTTACTTCATCTATTCAGGTGTCAGTTTTTCACCCATAAATTGACACTTTAAAATGATTGGAAGGGTTTGGTGACATAATATATGTGAGCAAGTAGCATATAGTCAGATCTCAAATGTTTGCTTTTTAAATCATTAAATTATCAAGTTATTACATTATTAGATGCTGCATTAGAGTATTACAAGCAAATAGTACATTCCATTTCCAATAACTGTACTTAGTTTGCTTTTGAATGTACTTTGTTTTGCATATTCATGGCTTAAAAGGACCTGGTCTGTTTCTTTTGGTGACTTTAGTTAGAATTATTCTTTCTCTTGAAAATAGTACACAAATAGAGGTTTCTGGGTTTTGTTTTTTTTTTTTAGTTTTTTTTATTAACACAAAATAGAAAATGGAAAATAAAATTGAGAGAAGAAAAGGGAGATAAAATTAAAGCTACTTGAGGCGCTTGCCTCTGGAAACTTTGAACATGGAGAAATGATAAAAGTTATTCAGATATTCAGGTCTTTTGTTCATAGGGTTGCTATGAGTCGTCTATGACTCGATGGCACTTAACAACAACATAGAGAGAGCTCTGTTGGCTAGTGGATAGAAAGTGATGCTACCTAGCCAAAGGTGGGTGATTTTAATCTGTGGCCCTCAGGCCTTATTTTAATTGTTTTTGGTCAAACTTTCTTCTAAGTGGTCTAACACTGGTCTGTCCATATGCTGTACAGAGGTAACCCGTGTTTGCTGTGAAGCTGAAAACTCTGACACTGATGTGTTAAATGCGATAATGGTTACCCATAGTGGACAGTGTTTGTTGGCGCTCCCTGATTAAAACAAGCTTGAAAGCAGGAGCGGCATCCACTTCTGAAATAGCTTGCCTCTGGAAACCGTATGAACTTGGAGAAACAATGAAAGTTATACAAGTGTTCAGGTCTTTCATTCATAGGGTCATTCTGACTCATCTGTGACTTAATGGCACTTACCAACAATAAGTGATAAAGGCCTAGTTTGTTACTAGTTACTAGTCACTAGTACTAGAGTACTGAATATCTCATGGACTGCAAAGGGTACAAAAAGGTATGCGGTTGAGAGGGTCATCAAAATGCTCGTTGGAGGCAAAGACGGTGAAGCTTTGCCGTTCATACTTTGGACATGTAGCCAGGCAAGGCTGTTCACTGGAAAGGGATCTTGTGCTTAGAAAGATGGAGGTTAGCAAAGGAGAGGAAGACCCCAATGAACTGGATTAACGTGGTGCCTTCAGCAACGGGCTTGAGTGTTTCGGAGATGGTGACGATGGCTCAGGATAGGGCAAGGTTCAGACTGACTCTTCATAGGGACACTAGGAGTTGTACTCAGCTTGATGTCACCTAACAACAACAACCAGTGACAGTGGCTAAGCTCTTACCTGCCAAGTGAAAGGTTCAAACCCATCACCCAACTCCTTGAACTAACTCCACTCCTTGAGAGAAAGCTTCAATAAAGATTTATAGCCTTGAGAACCATGGGGCAGCTCCACACTGTCCTGTGCATAGGATTGCTGTGAGCAGGAGTCAGTATGATGACAAAAGGTTTGGGTTTAGGAGCTATTTAATTCTTTCTCTTGTTAGATCTTTTAGAAAAGTCTCGGGTTGTGAAGCAGCCAAGAGGTGAAAGAAACTTCCATGTGTTCTACCAGCTGCTCTCCGGTGCCTCTGAAGAACTCCTCAGTAAGCCTCTTCTTCTGTGTTCATTTTTATGCTATAACATTTTCCTTACAAGTGTCGTGTAGCCTCTCCACATTTAACATTGTTTTGTTATTGCTTGTAGTATACATAGCAACACATACACCAATTGAACAGTTTCTACATACAGAATTTAATGACGTTTATATATTTCAACTCCTACGAACATTCCCATTCCTTTTCTCAGTTGTTCACCTCATTAAAATAAGTGCACTGCTCCCTAGGTTCCTGTCTTATCTTTCTAACTTATTTTGCTAGTTTGATCCCATCTAGAACATTCTAAGAAGAACATATTTTTGATGGCATGAGAGTATCCTGTGTCTTTTTCCTTTCCTCCTCGATTTTCCACGAGTCTATTTAAACCCAAGAAAAGAATGTTTGTGCTAGCAAACCTCAGCATTTGTTTTATATCCAGATACTAGACTATATATCTCTAATAGACTCAAAGGGGGAGATAATCATACCTTTAAAAAAAAGTAGATTTCAGAAGTAGAAAATGCTAGAGAGCAGGAGAACACAGTTCTAATGTGTTGAGAACAAACTACTTGCTCAATGAACATTTAAAAATGGCAACAAACTTTATGTGCTGCTAGTACCAGAGAGAAAAATAGGAATTTTTCATATTTTAGAGGTTTGACTATTCTGAAAAATTAATAGTCCATAAAGATAGTATCCAGAAGCCAGTGTAAACAATGAAAAGTTCTGAACATTCAGATCAAATGTGACAAGCTATAGAAGTTCAATACCACTGGGGGAAGTGTTCAACTTCAAAAATAATCAAGTATGCAAATTAGAACAATGTTGAAGTATCCACTGTTGATATGTTGTTGTCAAAACTATGTCTAGTCAGAATTGATGACTCAGACTCTGCAGCGGCGTTAGGGGCAGTAAATCATGCAGGAGGAGATTGCCTATCCTTTTCCCTTGGAGCAGCTGATGGATTTGAACTCCATGGCTGTGGGATCACAGCACAGCTTCTTACTACTAGGTTACCAGAGCTCCCCAAACTCTAAATATAGTTGCAAAAATAACTGAAAAAAGGTAAAATTGGCAGAGTTGTCAGATAGTGAGTGGATTGCTTAAAGGTCATGAGTGCCATTTTCAAGGAAGTACTTCTTCCTGCAGCACTGATTGACAGTCCAGAGAAAGATCAGAACAAAGCAACCCATTACATTACTTTTCAGAATATGTATCAACGAAATCATTCATAAGAATATAAACAGTTTGTACTGAGACATTTTTATTGCCTTATACATATTACTAATTCTGAAAGTGACTCACAAGCACAGAAGTAGAATATTATTTTAAATCCTTTCTTTTTTCTAGTGAGTGTGGAATGCTAGTCATCCTGCTTTGTGCATGCTCATCCATTGCCCTGTATCTATTATTAGGGAGCTCTGGTGCCTTAGTGGTAAGGAGTTGCATTGATAGCCCAAAAGCACCCAGTTCCAACCCACCAACTGCTCTGTGGGATAAAGATGGGAAATCTCCTCTAGTTCTAAAATAGAGACAACCGGTCCCAATTGGCAGGTGTCACTGGGCAGATAGCTTATGTTACGATAAAATAGAACCTTAAAAGTATTTTATATAATTCAGGTATGTAAAGAACCTTACTCTATAATGATAAATGTAAACCAAGTAAATATCTCAGTTTGAAATATGTATAACCGTGATGAAGGCAATTTTGGAAAAATGTTAACATTGTTATTGTCAGTTTTTCTTCTATTGGTTCAGCATATCATATGAAAATTATTTTATAGCCTAAACGAATGTGTGACATTAAATATCATTAGATTTATTGAAGCGTCATACTAAATTGAGTATCTGATTCCATAGATAAGCTTAAACTCGAGCGGGATTTCAGCAGATATAACTACTTGAGTCTGGACTCAGCCAAAGTTAATGGAGTGGACGATGCAGCAAACTTCAGAACTGTTAGGGTAAGATGGACTTGATGCTCCTATTGCACTTTAAATTGGACAGCATTGTTTTCCTTAATCTGAATTAGTAACAATTTGTTTTCTTTAACTTGGGTTTATACTCTCTAAATTCTTAGACTTGTGTAAGAATTTATTGCATTTTCTTTTTATTAAGTCAAATACCATAATCAGATAAAAATACAGTATGGAAGCCATACTGGTGAAGGCCAGACATGTTTCCACCGTGTATCTAAGGAGCCTCTGTATTATATTATCCTTAATTCTGACTCTTATCTTGTATTTAAAATCCAAATGTGTTCATAGCCAAAGATGAATACTTATTTCCAAGTGAAAACTTCCCAGAGATCAGTGTTTTTGAGATAGAAAGTCATGTTTTTATATAGTTTTAGAAGAAAAAAACCAACCATGTACAAAGCAGAATGATTAGCATTCCATATTCATTGGAAAAGAAAATTTTTTAAATGATACCCTCTTTTTGGTGTTTATGTGTCACTTTCAGAGTTCTTTCTATTATGACATGGTTTGATAACCACAGTTTATTTGCAGTGCCACAGCTGGTGGGCACGAGGTGGGGAGTGGGTAAAATGATAAACAAGATTGGCATCAGTTAATTGCTGAGGGTGAGTGAAAGGGACAAGGGGCTTCTTGCCTGTTCTCTGTATATTTATAGATGTTCGAAATTTGTATTATTCCAATTGTAGGGATGTGGCATCTAATTACTAAAAAGAAAAGGCCAGCTGTCTGTAAAAAGCAAAACATTTTTAATATGTCTTTTTGACAAAACGGCACTGGAAGTAGTAATTTGTTGGTTCTTGAACATGTGATTTTGTCTGAGGCATGAATTCACTTTTATAACCATTTTGCCTGGCACCTAATTGCCACTCCATAAAAGTTTATGAGTGAATGAATGCCTCTTGCTGTTAGATTAGACACTTTATCTTTACAAACCTTCATTTTCTCATGACTAATATACAAGAGGTTTTCTTTGTAGGGAGCTTGTAAATGATTTTTCTTCGATTCTGGTTTTAGCAGCAGAACCCCAAATCGCTGCAGATGAGTTGATTCCAACTCGTGGTGACCCTTTGTTGTGTTTGTCAGGCTGTAAATCTTTGTGGGGGGAGACCATCGATCCCTTTTTTTGGAACAGCTGGTGGATTCTAACTGCTAACCCTTTAGTTAGCAGGGTAACAGGTGTGCCACCAGAGCTCCTTAGCAGAACCCCTCCCCCAATAAAACTTACAATGCAGCCTCAAAAACTGCTTTAGTTGAAGGTGAGCTGTGGGCCCAGAGCTGTCCTCTCAGCCTGTTCTTGTCATCTTCCTCGTTCTGTGTCCCCCTCTGTGCTGCACCATGTGAGGCTCTCCTTGAGCTCCTTGATTCACGCTTAGAAACCACAAGATTTTACCCCATATTGATTCTTTAGAAGGCCTTTTAACAGGTTTTCCTTTCTGAAAGTCATTTCTTAAGGTATGACTTTCAAATAATAAGGTTTATTTAAAAGAAAGAAACGATTACAGAAAGAAAACAAGCGCTTTCCTTTTTTTTTTCTAGAATGCGATGCAGATTGTGGGCTTTATGGACCATGAGGCCGAGTCTGTCTTGGAGGTGGTAGCCGCTGTGTTGAAGCTGGGGAACATTGAGTTCAAGCCCGAGTCTCGAGTGAATGGCTTAGATGAAAGCAAAATCAAAGATAAAAATGGTAAACCGATGGGGAATCTACTTTGTTTAATAAACTTGCTTTGAACTTTTGCCCAGTTTTTAATCTAGAAAATGAAACTCGTGCTTTCATTGATTTGAAAGGGCTTTCCAGTAAAACTGGGCAGCAGTAAAGTGGCATCAATTTTAAGCCTTTTGTTTTCTGCACTTTATACTTTTCATTTTGAATGTAATTCTCATAGATCAAACTATTGGAGAAAACATTATCAATCTTGAAAATGAGATTGTTATTACCAGTACACATTTTGTTTTTCTTCCTACAGAGTTAAAAGAAATCTGTGAGTTGACCAGCATTGATCAGTCAGTTCTAGAACGAGCATTCAGTTTTCGGACAGTTGAAGCCAAGCAGGAGAAAGTTTCTACTACCCTGAACGTGGCTCAGGTGAGTGAATCGTAACATTCAGGAAAAAAGTCTGTTGTAGTTTTCTTGAAGTGAAATAAAACTTTGCATCTCATTACCTGCATGGCCATACTCTAGTCAAGGCATCTTTAAATGAAACAAGTGAAAACCTCAACCCTCATGGAGCTTAACATTCTAGTATGGATAGCTCGACCATAAACAGTAGACATAATTAGTTAGTTTTACAGCAAGTTAGCAGGTGTTCACTGCAGAAGAGAAAGTAGAGCTGAATAAGGGTGAGCAGTGAAGATGAGACTGGGGGAAGAAGATGTCTAGGTGAGGTGACAGTGGATTGGAGGTTGGAGGAAAAGAGTGGGATGGTGTGATTTGTATTTCAAAGGCTTATTCCAACTGTATGTAGAGAATCGATTACAGAGAAAGGAGGGTAAATGGAGGAAACTTCAGAGAGCTGTGTACCAGCCCAGGTGAAAGATGATGGTGACTTGAACCCGGGGTTAACTATAAGTTAGAATAGACTCAAGGGCATTGGTTTCTCAACCAGATGGTGAGGGAGAAGTGATCAAATTCAGAATATATTTTGAAGGTAGAGGCAGAAGATATGCTATAGTGTGGATATGAGGTCTGGCAGGTGGAGTGGGGAAGGGTGTGCAGGAGAATTGACACCATTATTTTTTGCCAAGCAAATAGAATGTGGAATTTACTGTTTGCTGATTTGAAGACTAAAGTGGGAGAAGCCAGTTTATCAAGTCTTCTTGATTTTGACCTTGTGAAGTAGAATACAAGTAAAGATGCTAATTCGATGCTTAAGTCTAGAGTTCAGAAAGTCCAAGCTGGAGATAATCTACAGTTACCAGGGTTTAAAACTTGTTGCTGAGTCGTGGGAGGCCCATGGGTTGCAGAATAGAACTTCACTCCATGGGGTGTCCATGGCTTTTCAGGGTCCTGGGAGTGCTAACAGGGATGTGAGGCCAATCCAGCATGGAGGAAGAACAATACAGAGGAAAAGATAAGCAAGGGAGACAGGGGAGGAGGAACTAGTGGAGGTGAGAGGGAAAACCACAGAACCATATTCAAGAGGCCGTGTGAAGAAAATTCCAAGAAAGCTAAGAGAGAACTGTCTGTCATTCAGTGTGGATTATTCAGGAATGATGAGGACTTAAAGTTGACTGGTGTCTTGAGTTTCCTTGGTGACCTCTATAAGAATTTTTTGGTGGAATGATGAGTGAGGACAAAGCCCTCCTTTGAGACAGCAAAGAAGAAGAAAAGGTTTTGTGAGTAAAGAGATTTTCAGGGAGCAGAAACCAAAAACGAGACGGGTTGAATGTGTAGGTTTATGAGAAGAGGAAGTGTGAGGCAGCATCTGGGAGAGTGGATGGGCTGATGAAATTCTGAGCATCATCCAGGCCCCCTTGAAGTTAACAGTTATAATTTTGAGTATGTCAATATGGTAATTAGAGTGATTGTAGAAAATAAATTCAAAGGAATAAGGCAAGAAGAGCTGTTACATGGTGAAAGTTAAAAGTGGAAACTGAGAGACTTATGAGGTACTTGGAAGGAGATGGCCGTATGTAGACAGAGGAGAGGATTTATTTTGGGGAGGGACTGACAATTAATGGGTTGTATGTGTTATGTGAGGAGAGGAAGAGTTTAAAATGATGACATGATTTTGACTTGAGTCTCATTTTATGAGAGGAAGGAAATAGATTTGGTGTTGAGGTGGGTTGTTCAATCTGAATTTCAACCTCTCATGGAAGTCAGACTTTCTGGAGCGGTAGAGCCTGAATTAGTCCTTGGAATTGTTCTGTAGCCTACACTTTCAACTAAAAGGATCCCTTGAAGTCTTCTTTAAACTAATTAATGGCTTAAAAATGTCTGTTTTGAGCATTATAGGAACAAATGGATGACAGCAAGAACTTAAAAGGTTAGAGAGGAACCATAAAGGCAGTGAGTGTGTTAATGGAAGTGAAACATCTCAGAAAAGGAGAATTGGAATAGAATGATTACACCATAGAAATAGATTATTGCAAAGATTGTAATCATTGTCACTGAATTGTATGTGGACAGACTATAGAGTTGGTATGTCTTCTGGTGTATGTATTTTCAACTACAACAAAATAAATTTAAGGAAAAGAAAAAAGATACCTGTACCTTCAACTTGAGAGAGCAAGTGAACATTTGGTATGTGGGCCCAGGTAAGTGTTAGTCCGGGTCAGCATGCAGACAGTGTCTAAAGGCATCCAACTAAATAGAATTGTCCAAAGAGAGACAGAGGCAGGAAACAACAAAGGTCCTGGGCTGAGGAAGAGGAGTCCTCAGCGGAGAACAAGACAGAGCAGGCCTGAGATAGAGGAGACCAGGATAATTGGTGTTTGGGGAGCCAATAGAGAAAAAGGATTCCAGAATGGAGGGTGGTAGACCCCTCTGTAAGGAATGCCATCAACAAATGCTTATTTTTCTTTTGTTGTAACTTGTAAAATGAGCATGTCCTTTGGGCACTGATTATATTAGCCTGTCCATACTATAGTTATTTATTTCCGAAACTTCTTTTCAGTAGGAACTACTGTATTTTATGATCTCATCCTTCTAATGACCTTGATAGTATCATCTGCATTTTGAGGTGGGCGCTAAATGGGTCGAGGTGAGGGATGTGACAGTGGGCAGGTGGTCTAGTTATTTCCACCCCTGCCAGAAATAAGCTGTTGTGGCCTTGACCTCCTTACAGAATTTCTGTGAGATCCATTGTCTAACATGTCAAATAGAGATGTTGATAATTTGCCCTACTCCTGGAATCTGTAAATCATTCCCAGTCCTGTTTCTCCCTTTGACATTCAAATCAATCACCAGTTCTTATCTCTGCCTTTTGCATCTCTCTTTATCTGTCACTCCCTTCAACCTCCCCTGTTGACACCTTTGCCAAGCCCTTGACTTCCCTCAAAAGGCCCTAATGAGTCCCTGTATCTATTTTGTTCCATCCTCTGAGACTTCACAGTACATGTGATCAGGAGGGGGCAGTTGCTGGTGAAGGACCTCCTGTTTGGTAAATTGGAAAACCAATGTAGGTGAGAAGAGTCCTGGATTGACACAATAACCGCAATAATAGACTGAAACATGTAAGCAGCCATTAAGATAGTGCAGGACTGGGCAGTTTGCTCTGTTTAGTTTGTCAGTTAGAGCCAATACAATGTGACCTCTCTTTTCAGTTCTTTCTTTATAAGAGACAGAACGGAGCTGCTTTGACCTCACTTAAAACTGTGCAGTGACCACACTTCCCTTTTGTGTTTACGTTAGAAGGACATATGTTTAGATGGACAGACAGACAGCTGGACATATGTGTACCAGGCAGACTTTGGAGGCTCTCTAAGTAGGGAACCTTTGTTTTCTGGCTTGCTTAGACATTTTCCAGCTATTAAAGTCTGATCTGGGATGATATTAAATGACTAATTCAGAAATTTTCCCACTCAACCCTATTTAAGTTTTAATTTTATACTCTTTTCTCAACCTCCTTCTGACTGTCTTTAAACATTTGTAGACAGTGTGGTGAAGTTGACTTCTTTGCTGGTGTGGACTAGTTTTTAACGAGAATGCCCCACCCATCTTAACCTTTTTTTCAATACTGGCTTCTGTCCCTAGAAGTCTTTTTGTCTATGGAAAATTTGGAGACTTTATGTATTTGTCAATATATAGATTTGATTTGTAGCAGTGCTTTTCTGACTATAACTGTTGTCTACCCACTTTATACTGCTTCTGCCATTTTTTTCTACACAAGTCAGTCTTACTCTTTCAAAGCCAGCACTGACTTAATCAAGAACATTTTGTAGAGCCCTGGCTCATGCAGGCTTCCATGTAGGCCACTTGGGATGTTGTTGTTAGGGGTTGTTGAGTCACCTGTGAGGCACAGCGTCCTGTAAACAGCAGAGCGAAACTAAGTCCTATTGTGTACCATCTTTCTGCTGGGGATTGAAAACCACATTGCTGAGTCAGACGCATAACTCACCCTGCAGCAGGTTTTCCAAGGCTCTAAGACTTACGGGAGGAGATTACCCATTTTTCTACTTGGGACTGGTTGATGGATTCAGGCTACTTGGGTTTGGGTTAGTAGAGCTACTCCTTATCCTCCAGGACACCAGAACTCCCTCCTGTTGCGGATGTTGTTGTTGCTGTGTGCCTTCGAGGTACAACTGACTCATAGCAAGTTTTCAGAGGCAGTAAATTGCATGAAAGGAGGTTGCCTATTCTTTCTCCAATGGAGCCACTGGTGGATTCAAACCACCTGCCTTTGGGTTGGCAGAGCTAGTCTTTATTCTCCAGGCCACCAGAACTTCATACTGGGGTTATTGTTGTTAGGAGTTGTTGAGTCGAATGTGACTTGTAGCAACCCTAAGAACAATAGTCCTGAATCCTGTCCTGTCCTGTGCCTTCCTCATCATCTGATACACCCGAGCCCATTGCTGCAGTCACTGTGTCAATGAGATGGATTGACTCTTGATGTTAGGAGGAATTAAAGACTTGGTGAGGGATGTGTTTTCTAAGACAGTCTTGATAAGGACTTAGGTGGGTAAAGCCCAGGGAAAGGGGCATTTTAAAAAGAGAAAACAAGGACAATAACTAGGTTTGCAATGTTGATCTCAATGGGCTACAGCTTTAGATACAAGAAAAGGAAATGTGGAAGGGATGCTCACTGGAGTCAGTGGAACAGCAACCCACACAGAGCTCCTTAACACATTGCCGCACACTTTTAAAATTGATGACCCTGCTTAGAAACACATTTGCCGTCATTTGTGGCAACGTGTTAAACAGTTTGTCGGCTCCAAGCTGTTAGAGTCAGTCTAGGAAGGGGCCTAGGGAGTGCTGGAGGCCTGGTCAGTAGGGAGCGCTGCTGCTAACCCCAGGGCCAAGCCTGTTTTGAATCCCCCAGTGGCTCTGCAGGAGAAAGATGGGCAGTCTTGTTCCATGCTATTTATAGCCTCGGAAAACCCACCGGAGGGGTCAACTCTCAGTCAGTTCAGTTTCAGTGATAATCCATTTGAGTTATTATGAGTTTGAGGAGGGATCAAGTTACTTGCATTTTGAACTTAGAGGTGCTGCTGGTCTGGGCACTATACTTTGAGATCATTAACTTGAGAGTAATTTTCAGTAGTCTGTAGGAATTAAGCATGTCATAATGCCATCAACTAACAAACAAACAGCCCCTGACAGGTCTGTTCCAACTTAAGCAAACCCCCATTGTGTTTCTGAGGCTCCACTGTGTAAACCACAAGGGAAGTCACTGCCCACCTTTAGCCCATGGATTGGCTGGTGGATTTGAACCACTGACTATCACGTTAGAAATGTAACACATGTGCACTATGCCTCCAGAGCCACTGTAGGCCTTTCAGGAACACTGATGTATGTTTTTTCCTTGTCTTTATTGTGTATTTTACTCTTGCTTTTTAATCATCCTCTGTGGAAACCAGGTGTCTTTTACATTAAGAGCTTATTGAGTTAACTTGCATCACTGGGTAAAAATTTCCACCTTTTTATAAACCTTTGGCATAGACGGATTTGGCTTGTAGCCCTCAATTAGTCAGCTTCTTAATCAAGTGTCTCCTTTTATATATTTTTTTAAAGTGTAGTTGTGTTAAGGGTACCTGCATCTGTCGACCTTACTCTCTTATTTCCCAGAAGGTTTTATTCCAGGGAGAAGTGATTTTTAATATTTTTTTTATTAACTTTTTCCTCATAGCTTTAATTCTTGGGGCCCTCATGGCTCATTGTCCCTGAGGCATTTTATACCTTTCCCCAGATAGATGAAGGCTAATATTAAAATAAGAAGAACTCAAGATGGAGGTTTATTATTCAGTTTCGATCTCATAATCTTGCCTTGATTTTCAGGGTCATCTGTAATCTGCCCCTTATGCTGCCTATCTGCCTGCTTGTTCTCTCTGAAGGGATCTCTGTGGCTTTGTGGTAAGGGGTTGCCTTTCCAACCCAGAGGCACACAGTTCAAATCCACCCCTTGTTCCCTGGGAGAAAGATGAGCAGTCTCCTCCCATGTGATTTACTGCCTCTGACAACCTGCTGGAGGGGCAGCTCTGATTCAGTTCCAACTTGAGGGTACAGAACAACTATTCCCTCTGAAGGGAGTTCTGCTGTGGTGGTTTACTGGTAAGAAGCTATGCCTCAATCCCAAAGGCACTTGGTTCAAATCCACAAGCTACTCTGTAGGAGAAGGATGGGCAGTCATGCGTGATCAGCACACAACTGTTCCAACTCTCTCTTCTGTCGAGCCTCTGGTGAATTCCAGCCTTTTGGTCAGCAGGGCAGCTTGCTATCACATTGTTATGTTGTTCTATACCATTGAGTCAGAACTGACCGTTAGCTGCCCCACCAGCGGGGTCTCAGAGACAGTAAATCACATGGAAGGAGATTCACCATCTTTTTCCTCTGGAGCAGCTGGTGGATTCGAACAGCATGTTTCTGGGTTGGCAGAACAGCTCCGTACCACTAGGCCACCAGAGGTCTCTCGCTGTCAGATTAGGAATCGTAACTCGGACTCTGAAAGTCAGAGACAACATTATTGCTACACCTTGTGCAAGACAAAGATCAGTTTCTCATAGTCTATTTGGTTAAAATACAGTGTCACATCCCCAGTTTAGGGAGCCCTGGTGACCTAGTGGTAAGAAACTAGATTGCAGCCTCAGGCATATGGTTCAATCCACCAGCAGCTCCACAAGAGAAAGAGGGATCATTTTCTCCCATGCGATTAACTGCCTCTCAAAACCCACTGGAGGCTCAGCTATGGGTTGCTTCTGACCCAGCAGTACACAGCAGTAGCATCATCTTGTGTTTTATGTTTTTAATTTTAAATTGGAGCGCCTATAGCCAACAATGCATCCTGCGCCTCCTAGACATCCTGCCACTTTTCACTTGTTTCTCTCCATATTTGGAAACATTTTATTTTGCAACCTTTGTAAGAAATATTTGTTTTGAAAGATGCAAAAAAGATTAATATTGGCTGTGAAACATATTTTGAAAAAATAGAAAGTCATATGTCAGAATAAGTATTACTCGTATGCATCTTATAATAAATGTGTATACTGAGTTGCACCAGGTAGTGAAATTGGTTTGTGATTGGACATTAACCTTTAAGGATGGCAGTTTTAACACACTAAGGAAGCCTGATGATTGGCTTCAATAAAGGTTATAATTAAGAAAACCCTAACTCATTACTGTCGACTCGGAACCAACTTATAACTGACCTTGCACTGGTTTTCTGAGGCTGCCGATCATGCCAGAGGAGATTGCCGATATGTCCTCCTTGGATCTCCTGATGGATTCAAACCATGAGAAATTCCTGGCTTTTGAGTTAGCAGTGTTAAGAGGAGTTACCAGTACAGTTACTCCTTACCTGAGCTCCCCGATGAAGCCTTAAGGAGCAGATGTACTTTGTGTCACATGGGTTATTAGAAGTTGGAATCTATTTCATGTGAATGGGTTATATGCTTCTTGTGTGCTTGACTCTATTTTAAGCATTTATTCATATTACTTATTTTAAAGTGAGACGATATTAGAAAAAGAGCATATATCCAAACTTACATTTTTGGCTCTTCTCTGTTTCAGCATTTGATATGCATTTTTAAAAATTTGGAATTACCCACCAGCCCCCTTTTTTAAAAAAAAACACAGTATTGTACAGAATGACTCTGGGTTTTGCCAGCTTCTTGTTCTGTTTTCCAACTCTGATCGAAGCAGCTTAATGGAGGCTCATCAAGACAGGTTTGGGCCTGGCTCGAGCGGAAGGGAAGAGTTGATTGTTCTTTCTGGCTGCAGAGTGTTGCCAAGGAAGGGAGTGTTCCTAGGCTTTGCACAACTTCATCTAAGAGGAAATGTGGGAAGACCCAGCATCACTGAACAAGCAGTTGTTGTTGTTGATTGCCTTTGAGTCGAGCATGACTCATTGCGACCCTATGAACAAAAGGCCTAAAGCCTTTTTATAACTATTGTCATTTCCCAAAGTTCATAGAGTTTCCGGAGGCATGTTGTTTAGGAAGTGGATGTCACTCCTGCTTCCAAAGCTGTCTTAAACAGGGAACTCCACCAAACACTGTCCACCATGGGTAACCATTATGGCATTTGACACCCCAGTGGCACAAGGTTCAGCATCCCAGCAACCCCAGGTTACCTCAGTACAGCAAATTGACAGAAGAGTGCTTTACCACTAAGAAGAATGTTCCTCCAAAATAGTAACAACCAACTTTAAATACAAAGACCCTCTCCGAGGTTTTATTGACTCTAAACAGGAGCCTTAAATAAAAAAACCACAACCAATATCATATGTTATTGTTGTTATGTGCCATTGAGTCTTTATAAAAAAAAAGTTATAATTTATTATTACAGTAACATCTAACTTTCTACTTATAAGCAATGAAAAAAAATATATACACATATATATGTATATATGTCCTTGCCCTAGGCCGGTTCTGTCTCAGGCCCCAGGCAAGCCAGCCCCTGGAGGACTGGTAGGAACATCTCCTCAGTACTGCCTTGCTGTGCAAGTCAGCTGTCAGTACATTGAAGGGCTGTTCAGTTCTTCTGACACAAACTTTCTCCTTTCTTTATAAGTCATATTGACAGAGACAGGTCCTTCTTTGTCAGTTAACTTAGAACAGTTTTAAAACTAAGCAAATGAAAGGATTTTTTATTATAAAAGCTGTAAAAGTTGAAGTTACTTTTTTAATTGTTACTGGTTTTTTAATTTTATTTAAATTTATTATTTCAGTAAAAGTTTACAGAGACTTTGGATTTCCATTCATTCATTGTTGCACTGAAGTTACTTTTGAAAAAGAAACTAAAAATATTTGAGAAAAGAAAAAAAAAATATTGATTGCCCCAGTGAAAACTTCTGTAAAGAAATATATTTCCTAGGAACTCTGGTGGCATAGTGGCAAGGCACTGCGCTGCAGTCTTGAAGGTGTACGGTTCGAATCCACCAGATGCTCTCTGCTGGAGAAGGAGGGACAATCTCCTCCTTTGTCAGTCGAATCTGATTAGATGGCACATAACAAAAGAAGGAAAAGAAAAGTGTTTCCTTTGCTGTGTGTAGAGGTTTGTTGGTGTTTTGTTTTTTGGGTTGATCACCATTGTCCATTTGTATTCCAAACCCACTCACCATTGAGTCAGTTCTGCATAGTGACCCAGTGTGGCAGGACTTCATCGAGTTTCTGAGGCTGTAAATCTTAATAGAAACAAACTGCTTCATCTTTCTACAGTGAAGCAGCTGGTGGGTTCACTGAGCTTTACGTTAGCAGGCTAGCTCTTACCCTCCTTAACATTTAATCCCCCCAGTTTTGGTTTGTTTTCAGTGCAACATAAGCATTTTCTATTTCCTTTTTTTTCATACTGCTCACTCGTTGCTGTTGATCCACATCCGATTTGTAGCTGACCCTCCCTCCATCAGGTGTTCAAGACTATAAATTGCACAAGAGGAGATTGCACAGCTCTCCCGCTCTGATTTTGCTGGTGCGTTCGAATCACCAGAGAAATGCAGGCTTGGGGTTAATTAGCACGGCTCTCGACTAACTGTGCCACCTGAGCGTCCACTTAATTTTCAAAACTGTCGTATATGACTGCTAATAAAAATTGCTTCTGAGATTAAAAAGAAAACAAACAGCTTTAAATATCTTTTAGATTATCTTTATCATTTGATAGTAATTGTGAATGTTGACTTTTCTCACTTTCTTTCCCAATAGGCTTACTATGCCCGTGATGCTCTGGCTAAAAACCTCTACAGCAGGCTGTTTTCGTGGTTGGTAAATCGAATCAATGAAAGCATAAAGGTATTGATTTTCTATAGCCTGATAAATTGGTTATAATAAATTGTGTCAGTCTAAATGTTATGTTGAAGAAAGTTTCATTTTGTAATCTTAAAAATGATAGCATTTAGGGTTGCAGTTTGTCAGAGATTTGCTTCCATCACTTGCTATGTATTCACTAGAGAATAGTTTAAATGTGCTTTGCACAGTTATTAAATCAAGAGCTATTATCCAGTTCCTGATTAGTAGATGATTCTGACTCATGTACTAACTGTGAACATTTGACTGATAGCGGTCAGTTTATTGTTGCAGGTACTAAATGTTCTTAAGTGTAATGAGAGTATTAAAATAGTTGACATAATAACTTATTGGCTGTAAGTTACAAAAATCTGTTTTTAATACAGTGTGTATGTATGAAAGAAAGTGTATATGAGTGATGATGTACAAATCAGTAAAAATAATTGGGAGGACAACTATCTGGCCAACTGACTGGAAGAGATCCATATTTATTCCCATTCCAAAAAATGGTGACCCGACAGTATGAAAATGATTGAACACTATCACTAATCACACTCAAGCGAAATCCTACTGAAGATTAATAGTAGATTGATAAAGAACTACCAAAACACAAGCTGGGCTTAGAAGAGGCCATGGCACTAGAGAGACATTATTGCCAAGGTTAGTTGGATCTTGGCAGAAAGCAAGGAGTACCAGAGGAATGTCTCTTTGGGTTTCTTTGACTATGCAAAAGGATCACAACAAATTGTGGCTAATCTTGAGGAGAATGGGAATCCCATAACCCTTGATTGTGTTTATGCAAGATCTAGACTGGAACAAGAAAGGAATCCTCAGAACAGAGAAAGGGAACACAGAATGGTTCAGATCAGGAAAGGAGTGTGTCAGGGATATGTCCTGTCTCCAAACCTTTTCAATCTGTATGCGGAACAGATCATTCAGGAGGCTGGACTTTATGAGGAGGAATGTGGCATCAGGATTGGAGGAAGACTCATCAACAATTTACATTATGCAGATGACATAACTTTGCTTGCAGAAACTGAGGAGGACCTGAAGTGCTTGCTGCAGAAGGTCAAGGATTGCAGCCTTCAATATGGGTTGAAGCTCAACATCAAGAAGACAAAGATTGTTAGTGACAATCGACCAATTGACAGCACCATGATAGATGGAGAAGAGGTTGAGATTAACAATTCCAGCTTGTTTGGCTCCACAATCAACACTCTTGGCAGTCAGAAAAATCTAAAGATCAATTTCACTGGGGAAATCTGCTGTTAGGGATCTCTCCAGAGTAATGAGAAGCAACGATGTCAGTTTAGAGACTTAGGTGCACCTGATTTAGGCCATGGTCTTCACAATTACTTGCTATGCATCAGAGAGCTGGATAATGACTGAGTATGATAGAAGAAGAATTGATTCCTTTGAGTTGTGGTACTGGAGAAGAGTCTTGAACATACCATGGACTGCCAGAGTCCAGGAAACGAAATTTCTCCTTGGAGACTAGGATTTTATAGCTCTGTCTCACATACTTTGGGCACATGGCCAGGAGGGACTGGTCATTGGAGGACATCATTCTAGGAAGGGTGGAGGGACAGCATAGGAGAGAAGACCCTGGATGAGATGGATTGATACAGTTACTGGGGCAATGGGAGTAGGTGTGTCAGAGTAAAGGGGCAGGCTTCAGAGCAGTTGTACATAGAATGTTTTATAACTAAACACCACTAATGCATCCTTAAGGATTCTGATGGTTTAATGATAGGGAATTGCACTGCCAACGCAAAGGTACATGGTTCAAATCCACCAGCTGCTCAGTGGGAGAAAGATGAGCATTCTCTTCCTGATTTACTGCCTCTGAAACCACTGGAAAGTCAGCTAAGAGATGATTCTGACTTGATTGTATACAACAATATTTTCTTTAAGTTACTTTTATAATAGTAAAACTTCTGGTACATTCTACTCTAATATTCTATTTCCTAAATATTAAAATTTAATTATTCTGTCTATAAAGAAATGCAAGTTAAAATATATATATGACTGTGTTCCTTGGTTTGCTTTGTTTACTTTTGTACTTTGTGTCTAACATAGTCAATTCTTTTGGAACTTTCTTTTAAAGGCACAAACAAAAGTGAGAAAGAAGGTCATGGGTGTTTTGGACATTTATGGCTTTGAAATTTTTGAGGTAAGTCAGGTTGTGGTTTTTGGTAACACTTTTATTAAAGTGGAAATTAATATATTCTATAGATAGCATTTATCAGAAATAAGTGTAACTTTAGATCTACAAATAGTTTTTGTGAAAATGTGGTTGTACATGTTTTCAGTGCCAAAAGTTTAGAGACAAGTAGCATTTTAAAAGAACTGCTTGTATTAGTACTTGCACATTAAAGTCTTCCTGTGAAAGTTCCAATCTGTCACATGGATATGATATGCCTGTAGCCCTTTGCTTGTTTGTAAGTTGTTTGGGAAGTAAGGTGGATTGATTCTATGAAAAAACCAGGAATGAGGACCCACTTGTTAATTGTGGCTGACCATGACTAGTCACTTCATCTCTTGGAGACTCAAGGATTGAAGGAGGGAGGGTTTGGGTTAGATGATTGTCAGCAGCTCTGGTGATGCAGTGGTTAAGAACATGGCTGCTGGATGAAAAGTCAGTGGTTCAAATCTCTGAGCTACTGCCTCATGGGAGGAAGATGGGACACGCGGCTTCCTTCAGGAGAATACAGCCCTGGAGGCACCGTGCGGCAGTTCTGCTCTTTCCCATTCCGTTGTTATGCACTGAAATTGGCTTGATGGCAGTAAATTCAGTTTATTATTTTTGAAGGATTCATTTAACCATGGCCTTATAATATGAATTCTGCTGGGTGGTTTGAAATAATTTCTGTCAAAGCTCACAATGAATTTTTTAAAGACTCCAATGGCTGCTACAAATTAAATATTTAAAAACCATGTGCTTCTATTACTAACTTTGGCATTTAAGAGAACTGCCTCTGACTTTTACTTATGATTTGAGTGAAAGTTTACAAAGCAAATTAATTTTTCATTTAACCATTCATACACATTGCTCTCACTCTTACAAGGTGTATATTGTTGATGTCGGGACAGTGAATGAGACTCTTCTTTTTATAACAGCTCTGTAAAAAGAGTGTGGCCAGTGTGAGGCTGGCTAAGTCTGACTTTGTCTCATCCAGAACACAAAGCCAGTTCTCATGAGATCAAACGAGGCTCACGCTCCTTGCATCTACTTCTACCAATTCTGTCACTAACCAGAGTTCTCTCTGCCTTATGTGGGTCTACTAATCCATCACGGTGGGCCCACAGAACTCACCCATTGTACCCATGATTATGGTGTCTATCAAGGGAGATAAGAGGTTACAATTCAGCATGGAAGCATCATACAGTTCTTCAGAACAGCTTCTGAGGTGTGCTTGCTGGCCCTTTTCTCTTCAGCATCATGGCTTTAGGCCTGTGTTCCAAAGCTCTCTTAGACCTGTCAATTATGGTGTCTCCCCATCCCCACACCCAGTCCTCTTGGAAGCCTGGGTGAAGGCCCTGGCTCTGTAGGGTAGTAGTCCCCACTCAGCTCTGTGTTTCAAGTTGGTCTCTGATTCCCAACTGGTGGTCCGACTGTACAGGAATCTCTGTAGCCCCTTTTGAGACCACGATCATCTCCCAACATGTAAACAAATGTTAAAATGAATATTTGACGCCTCATTTCTTCCACTGAAATAGTTCTAAGTTCCAGATCACTATTGGGAGCCTTCTCAGTGCTGGTCTGCATGCTGGCAGCAGAGTGGGGATGAGGATACACTTAGGCTGGGTGCAGACTATAGTCCTTAACAGACTGTGTAAAGGAAAACCTCGAGTCATTTGGTATAAAACTCAAGCTTTTGCTACAGGAAAGAGTTCCTTGAGTGTCTTCACAAATCACTCTGGCAGAATTAATGTCTTTCTCGCAAGACCTCAGGTCACTGTCACTAAATGGGCTGAGTGTCAAAGTCATTCTTTATTCTTAGCAAGAAAAAGGACTTCCTCCCCCGGCACATTGCTAATCTAAATTTAAGTGGTTTTGATGAGTAGGGAAGATTGTAAGCAGAGATTTCATTGAAAAATTTGGAGGATAAAAGACATGTTGTTATTGTTGTTATGTGTCGTTGAATCACCCGTGCGTGACCCATAGTGACCTGAACCCTGCCCTGTTCTGAGCCAGTCTCACTAATGCCGACACACCAACCCCCATTGGCCCAGTCACTGCATCAGTCCATCTCATCTGGGGTTTTCCTGCCCTGCGCTGTCCCTCAACTCTTCCAAGCATGAAATTTCTGAAGTCAAAGAAACCAGCACTGGTTTGATTTGAATTTTATTTGCCTAGAAGGGTGAAGGAAAAATGCCACATACTCAATGTTAGTCACAATACATGGACCCTGTTGTTTTGTAGGTTTTATTAATAGTGTAATAGAGTTCTACTAGCTTCACATCATCTTTCAGCATATCCTACTTTCTAGCTAACCATGAGAAAAGGGACCCTCAAGTCACCCAGAAGGAAACAGAATTGTAGGTGTCATGTAAAGTGTGACTCCATGTAAGTGATAGCATTTCTTGAGAGCCCTGAAGGTATAGTGGGCTAAGCACTGGACTCCATACAAAAAGATCAGTGGTTCAAACCCACCATCCACTCTGCAGGATAGAGATGAGGCTCTTGTGAAGATTTACAGCCTTGAAAACCCTATAGAACCCTTGTTCTACGCTATTCTATAGGGTCAGTAGATTGTGTATTCTGTATAATCAACTCAGTGACAGCAGTTTTTTCTTATAATGTGAACTAGATACCAGTGGTAAACAAGACAGATGTTCTTTGCCCACATGGGATGTCTTGGCCCTAAACCTGAGAATCTTTTGTTGCTGAGAATGTCTGTCATCTAGTAGAAAGGTCTAACCAGAAAACAGGTTTGCATTTCTAAAGTGTTTTTGCTACAGAGCTAATCATAACTGAAATTGGATGTTCCTGGTGAAGAAGTCTTTTTAAATTGGTTTTGATTAAAATTCCTTTCTGTAATCTGGGGGTAGTTTTCATTTGTAGTTGATTAAAGTTTTTCTCCAAAGCTTGCCTTTTTGAGCATGACTCACTTATGTCATTCCTCCCCCCAACACCTTTATAACCAAGTTGCAAACATGCCTACATGACATTCTAAAGGTTTTTCCTCTCTTTAATAGAAATGCTAGTAAGGTTTTCAAACTTAACATTGGAACCAGCTGGGGAGGCTTTTGAAAATTCAGATGTTTGGGTTATTCAACTCTGTGGTGCGGGGGGAGTGAACATCAGTGTTTGTAAAGCTCTAGATAATTCCAGCTGCTCCTTACAGTGTCCAGAAAACTACAAAACTGAAAACTATAAACATACCTGACATGCAGCCTGTTTGCCCTGAGCACAAAGTGCCCTTGTGAATCTTCCTGCCTCACCTGTCCTCTATCTAAATGTCAGCTGTGCATGTGAAACCCTTAAACAAAGGCAGATAGACTCATACACAGTTTTACTGTTTTTAAACAGCAGGCTCAGACAGTCCAGACTTAACATTTGTAGAAATTTTACATTACCCATAAAATCATTAAACACTGATTTTCCTCCTCTGCAGCAAATGCTTACCTTTCTTCTTCATGTTCTTTGAAGACTTACTATTTTCTTTTTAACTAATTACATCTCCATTTTCTTACCTATACCTTCTCAGCTTAATCTCCCAGATTTCCTAATATTTAAAAACCCATGCCTTCATTTTGGGAGGTGATCTGTGAATAGAGTTTTGTTTATAGTTAGGTACTTTTGGATACTTTTACCTTATCATTGATACAGAACTGGGAGTAAAACGTTTTCTTTATAATTTATATACAAATGCACACACACCCCAGATGTCGTCCTACATTTTCCTAATTTCCCAGCAAAATGAGAACACAGTATGTTGAACAAGAGAAAATCACATAATTAGCTTAAAAGAACAGGGCTAAGGAGGTGACTTAGGAAGGTGTTTTCAGCATTCACACCAGTGCAAAAATGAAAATTGCCATGATATGTTCCACCAAAGTAACGGTAAAACAATGAATTAGAGTAACATTTTGCCTTTGAGGTTCAGTGGGAATATGATTTAGGAATTAAGAATTCTGCCTTTAGAGAACTCCTGGGCATTACTTTCAAAATGGGCAGTAAAGATCCAGAACTTTTTTTTTTTTAAATGCTTGAATTCAACCTCATGATCCCACTAACAGTTCCCATGAATATGGTTTTCAGCTGAGCTGGTAAAACCCTTTCATTCCCTCTTATCTGTCTCCTAATGGGAGAGGGAAACCGGTGCATTCATTCAGTCATGGGGTGATGACACATGAGTGATTGCAAACATTCCTGCACCAGCTGAATGAATAAACTCGGCCTTCCTGGCTGCATGTGACCTGAAGTCAGGTGAGAAAGCAGATTAGCAGAACATTGATCACAAAGGACAGTGTAGTGAATTAAAATTCATAGACCAAAATTAAAATAGTCTAGCCAAAGATCTTTTAGAATGTAACTTCAGCTTTCTAAAAGAAGAGCAATAATCTATATACTCTGAAACGGAATAACTACAGCAGTATTTTATGTGGGTGGAATGATATACTGTTACATAATTTCCATAATGTGTTGGGTCTACCTTTTTTGGACTAGACACAAATATGAATCTCTTCCAGTTAGTTGGCCAGGTAGCAGTCTCCAAATTTCTTGGCATAGACATGTGAGCACGCCTAAGATGTGCCTCTGTTTGTTGAAATATCTCAACTGATATTGTCTTGATTCCTCTATTTATTTAAAAATGTCTGGAGCTTTACACCAACAAGGAAGTGAAGTGCCAGAAATTCGAGCTGGATACAGAATTGGCAATGGAATGAGGGAGAGCATTGCTGATGTCAGATGATTCTTGGCTAAAAGCAGAGAGTACCAGAAAGATGTTTACTTGTGTTTCATTGACTATGCAAAAGCATTTGACTAGATGGATCATCTCAGATTTCAGATAGTGTTGGCAAAGGATGGGAATTCCAGAACACTTAATTGTTCTTGTGCAGAACCTGTGTACATAGAAGCAGTCATTTGAAAAGAACAAAGGGATACTGTATGGTTTAAAACCAGGAAAAGTTTGTCAGAGTTGTGTCCTTTCTCCATACTTG